TACCAACAAAGCTGAGGGCAAATGTCTTCCCGGCTTCTTAGGTAAGCCTTGAATTTGTTTCATTTTGTTTCATAATTAAGTCAATTTACAATCATTTATAGATGCGGTCAATGCATTTATTCTGCACTTATATAACAATGGCTTTAAGGTGACTGTCCCTCAAGTGACCACAAATGGGAAATATTTATCGTTTCAAGACATCCCATCACCAGATGAACGATCAACACGAGTAGACATTTTGAACGAGGGGTCAGAGGGGACATATGGGGTCCGGCTATTGGAGTTCATAAGTGGGAAGCTGTTAAAGGATGTGCCCTTTACTCCCGATATACTCACAGAATGTGGTCAAGTGTTGGCTCAGATGACTATCGCTCTTCAGGTAATCATTACTATAGTAAATGAAAGCTAAGTAAAAATGATTTCATCAATTGTTTCAGTCATTTGAGAGCCCAGTGCTAAGAGTTCGTACATCCAGTTGGTCTCTACTAAGTGTGTTAGACGTCAGACAATATTTAGATGCCGTCCAAAATTTGGAGGACAGGGCTATAGTGTCGGCCGCTTTAGATGAGTACGAGACCACAGTTATGCAGCACCTGGATGAGTTTGAGCACTCATTCATTCACGGAGACTATAATGAGATGAATATCATTGTCCACAAGAATCCCGATGAATATCACGTGAAGGGAGTCATAGACTTCGGTGATATTCACTACGCGCCCAGAGTTTTCGATTTAGCCATATATTTGTGTTATTCAATGCTATTCTTCACTGCCGGCCCACCCATACTGGCGCCGGCGTTTGGACTCAAGGGTTACATGAAGTCCATTAAACTACACGAAAATGAATTAAATGTGTTATGCGTTAGTATTTGTCAAACTTTCAATTACTTTTAATGCACACAATTAACTTCTAATTATTATCTATTTCAATAGACTTGTATCAAGGCCAGATTCTGTCAGTCACTGGTATTGGGCGCCCATTCATACCGTTTGGATCCGACAAATGTTTACGTGTTGTCGTCGGCCAAGAATGGGTGGCCAGCCCTCTTCTATTTGAATAGACTTGTATCAAGGCCAGATTCTGTCAGTCGCTGGTATTGGGCGCCCATTCATACCGTTTGGATCCGACAAATGTTTACGTGTTGTCGTCGGCCAAGAATGGGTGGCCAGCCCTCAGAGCACTACATAATAGCGATCCCAAACAATTGCTCAATAAGTGGCTTAATATTGAACAACATTTCTAATTAAATCATTAATTTGACTTGATCAATAACTTTTATATATTTTTGGTATTAAATAAAAATATTTCAATAATTTTTAAAAAGAATATTATAATTTTTTAGTTTCTACTCATATAATTAAAAATGTACTGTTATTTATAAATTATCATTTCTAATTTTGCAATACAGTATTCTTATAAATACTACTAAAAAGTTTATAAACTATTTCAATATTGCTATTATTTTAAATAGATTTTTATATAAAACTCTTGCTGTACAGTTATTTTGTTTAAACTAAGTTATATATTACTTGTTTAGTAATTTTATTATTTATATAAATTGATAATAAGAATGATGAACTATCATGATAACTTATTACAAAGTTATCCATATTGTTTAATAATTTCTACAAATGTTACGAATTAAAGCATTTAAACAAACCCTTAAATAAAATAAACATACATTTATTAAAATCATCTACAAATAAACACTATTAAAAGCTTTACAACACACAACTAATTAACATAGACTAAATAAACTAAATTAAAAACTAAAACCACTGATAAATGTACCTAGGTTAAAAAAAACTACAATGAACACCCACCCCAGCATGGCGTAACGTAATCCATGAACGGGTGCCTAACATTTCACGTGTAATGAAATGAAAACAAATGTTTTTTGTGTTCAACCGATGAAAACGCATTTCAATTAAAAGTCTTTTATTAGTAAACAATATTTAAATGTGTTTTCAATTCACTGTGCAATCAATTAGTGCTAAATATAAAGCGATTGACTTTTCAATGGGAATACAAACGATATAACAATTAATACACGAAAGAGATTGCAATCCAATGCACGACACCATAGACTGAATGGCTATCAAAAAGCGTAACCAAAAAAAGTCACACAAAAAGACAAATAATAATCAAAAATCTAATAATAATTGCAAACAAAATGTGAGACAAAAGGGCGACAAATCTCGCGACACATCCGTTGGTGACGATGAAGACGTTGCGGTGATAATGAAGGCCACGAACGGAGACCCGGCTGTTGTTGTCGCCAAAAATGGGTCAAATCGGGTGACAAACAGCAAGTCATCGGCGGTCGACGTGTTTGGCGACTCAGACAAGAGGGTAGACGTGAATCGCGTGGAGAAGACATCACCGGCGGATCAGCTGATGGCGGCGACCACCAAATGTCTGACCACTTACTCACCCAAAGGACTGTCAAATCTGGGGAACACTTGTTATATGAATTCAGTTCTTCAGATCATTTCTGAGACACATCTGCTCTTTGATGTGTTGAACGAGCGCTCAAACGATGGTTACATCTATCGGGCGAAGAGTCTGATGAATGGTAACGAGTGGTCTGTGGACCACACCTACGATGACGAGTACGACATTGTTTTAGGCAATTGTCTGCCACTCACGCAGAGTCTCATCGGATTCATGCGAGACATGCGTTCATCTCATAGCAGAACCATAAGTCCGGCCAAACTCTTGAGGGATATCCGCAAAGAGTGGAACCAATTTGATGGTTGGGCGCAACAGGACTCTCACGAACTCCTCAGATGTCTATTGGATTCACTGAAATGCAAAGAAGTGAAGCGCCAGCGGATCGCCGTCTGCCAGGAGTTTAAGAGCGGTTCCAATCGTGAAGACAATAATCTCGACGACGACACCAAATCGCGGATCAAGTCTTTCGCGACGTACACTCAGTTAACCCCAATCGACACCGTCTTCGGCGGTCAGCTATTGTCGAGCGTATGTTGTGATGTGTGTCAGTACACGAACTTGATTTTCGAGCCATTCTTCGACTTATCGCTTCCGTTAACCCATTTGACCGCAAATTGTGATAATAATAGTGCAGTAATTGTTGTCAATGGGAGTACATCCAAGTTCAAGGGTAACGGCAGTACGAGTGGCGCCACGAATGGTAAACCCGAAGAAGACACCAGTCTTTTAGACAAAGACCCGAAGAAATTGAAACCAAAAGAGCGAAAGGCGTTGAGGGCTCAGAAAAAGGCGGCCAAACGGGATGCCAAGCAGTCCAAGAAACTGGAGACCAATTTCATTATAAGTGGAGACAAATGGGATTCCAGTGATCATAATGTGGACACCGAAGAGGTTGTGACCAAACCTGAAATCAGTTCCGAACCGAACGATAATAAGAGTGAAGAGAACTCAGAGGCAAATGAGTCGGAAGTGAAGACTGAGACGACGGATGTGTTGGGCGAAGAGAGTGACGGCGCGGCTGACGACTGGCATATGGAACCGCTTTTGGGTGATTTCAATGGGACGATAAGTTTTAAGACTGAAGTGACCGATGAGGAGAAACCGATCACCACAGAGGCGACAGAGGTCTGGGATTTTAGCGCCGACTTGAATGGCGCTGTCGATGAGGGCGAAGAGTTTGGGTTCGGTTTGCTGTTCGACAACGAGGACGATGGCAGCCAATGGTTGGCCAACAACTTGGATGAGGGCTGGAATACAGGTGTCGATGAAAACGAGTGGAACGAATCGGGATGGGTCTGGAATGAGGACGGCCTACACGAATGCAAACCTGTTTTCGGTCCACAACTGCCCCCGGATATGGCGGTCGACTCGGAGGTGGCGTCCGATGAGTGCAAAGCACAAGAACAGGAGTTCAACACCGACTTAGAGACAGAACTCCTGATGATGAGTATCAGCGACAGAGAGAAGATTGATTTGAAACAACAGTCCACTACTGATGGACACCCGGCCGCCACCGAATCGGACACGAATTCTGTGGCTTATAGAGAGATAATAACGAAGAGCTTACAGACAATCAGTGATAATCGGGCGGAAAATCTGCCAAATTTTGATTTAATCCGTTTGTTGACGAACTTCACGGCTGTTGAGCGCCTGTCCGGTCATAACAAGTATTTATGCGATTTGTGCACAAAAACTAATGAACAGAAACAGAAAACGTTCACAAATGCGTCGAAACGAGCGCTCATAGCACTGCCCCCACCGGTGCTTACATTACATCTCAAACGGTTCGAAGCCGAGGGCTACCGGCGCTCCGTTAGCTTTAAGAAGATCTCGACGTTTGTCTCATTTCCGGCCACTTTTGATTTGGCGCCGTTTGTCAGCCAAATGTACAACTATTTGCAGCCAATCACTGGTCAGCCCATCGCTCAGACACTCATCTATTCGCTGTACGGAGTGGTCGAGCACTCCGGCGGTCTTAAGAGTGGTCACTACACGGCGTACGTCAAGCACCGGCCCTTCAATCCCAAATATAGGCAAAAGTTTGCAAACTTTGAGCCCTTTGTGCCTAAAATGGATAGCGTGTTGAAAATGATTGATAAAAAGTACTTCAATACTCACGATAACCTGTCCACCAGTTCCCCAATTAATGGCCACACGAATGGTGTCGATTCGGTGGACAGTTCGCAGACTAATGGGACGGGTGGTGATGACAGTGGCGCGAATGGTGTGAATGGCACAGACAGTGATGATCACAGTAGTGTCGATGGTGTGGACAGAGAGGGCAAGTGGTACCACATCTCGGACACGAGTGTGTCGTCTTCCTCCTTGAGTTCTGTACTCAGATCTCAGGCCTATATTCTCTTCTACGAGAGGATTGTCTAATAAATGCATTGTTTTGAATATTTTATTTACAAAACTCTGTGTAAATAAGATTGAAATTGTATTTAGTTTTGCTGATCGTCGCGTATATTACGGAATATTTACCATAATATAGACTAATTTTTAATAAATTCTATATAAATGAGACATTCGTTGATATTTTTTAACTCAATATTTCTAACTGTATAACGGATTCAAATGCTAATTAAAGTTTATTTCAATATTTATAATTACTGTACTGTAGTATAAATGATTTTTATTTATCCATTGTTTGTGAGTGGATGTACCGATTGGGAAGTGGAAGCACTGAGTGGTTGTACTCAAGGGTCCAAAGTTTAGGCAATTTCTGATAAATGTTTAGTTGGTTTTATAAGTTATAAATTATAACTCATTTAATTGTTTATTAAATCACATTTTAGGCAATAAATATATTATCTTAGATTAAGTTACATTGAATTGCGTAATTTCAATATCAATTATCATAAAATTGACAAATTACCATAAAAATAACCTTGTACAGTTCTTGTTTAGCAATGAATCCTGAATAGACAGACTAAGGTACAGGTTTTAGGAAGTGATGAAAGTGCTGAACATCTAAACGATTGTGATTTTGTCAAATAACAGGATCTATCGATCCTTGAATTATATAACTTATCACAGATTTGTTAATTTATAACTGCACTCGAGTACCTGGATACATCTACACGCTATTGTTATCGTATCTAAATTATGCAATTCCTTTATTACAGATTGAGTACAGAATTTCACAATCACGTACTTTATATAGTCAAAGGTAACAAGAATTTTGTATAGTTTATTACTTTATTAGGTAGGAAAGGTAACCTACAAACCTGTATTAGACTTATATAACTCATGAACACATGGTTTCTATTGAGTTATTGTTAGTGTTTAATGAATTCAACAGTTTTGAGACTACGTTAACAAAGAGTTATTCATTTGATTTACAAGTATTGATGATTTTGAACGTTTTAAAGTTTTAGAACTTTTCAAACTTACGGTAGTTTTAAAACATTAATACAATACTCACTAAAATGTCTCAACTCTATGCCAAAGACTCTTTGGACCGATTCGGTGATGATTTGTGTGAACTATTATTGAGTTATCTTCCACTCGAAGACCGATTCCGTAGTGAATGTGTGTCCAAACAGTTTCAGAGATGTGTTTTCGTCACTCTTCGAGACCTAATCATCGACGAGAAACTCATGAAGAAAATGACTAAAAAATATTTCCCAATCAATATAATGGCTATAATTATGGAAAAGTGTCCAAACATTCAGCACATCCACTGCACCCGGATTTGAATTATATAACTTATCACAGATTTGTTAATTTATAACTGCACTCGAGTACCTGGATACATCTACACGCTATTGTTATCGTATCTAAATTATGCAATTCCTTTATTACAGATTGAGTACAGAATTGCACCATCACGTACTTTATATAATCAAAGGTAACAAGAATTTTGTAGTTTATTACTTTATTTAGGTAGGAAAGGTAACCTACAAACCTGTATTAGACTTATATAACTCATGAACACATGGTTTCTATTGAGTTATTGTTAGTGTTTAATGAATTCAATAGTTTTGAGACTACGTTAACAAAAAGCAATTCATTTGATTTACAAGTATTGATGATTTTCAATGTTTTAAAGTTTTAGAACTTTTCAAACTTACGGTAGTTTCAAAACATTAATATTCACTAAAATGTCTCAACTCTATGCCAAAGACTCTTTGGACCGATTCGGTGATGATTTGTGTGAACTATTATTGAGTTATCTTCCACTCGAAGATCGATTCCGTAATGAATGTGTGTCCAAACAGTTTCAAAGATGTGTTTTCGTTACTCTTCGAGACCTAATCATCGACGAGAAACTCATGAAGAAAATGACTAAAAAATATTTCCCAATCAATATAATGGCTATAATTATGGAAAAGTGTCCAAACATTCAGCACATCCACTGCACCCGGATCTGTAGTCCACCACACGATTGTAGTCAACACATGGATGACCAGATACACCACAATTACCACCACCACCGACGTGTCCACAGGTATTGTCTTAACGTCCAGTTCTATCCCAACCCTTGATTAACATCTTATATATCACTACAGACTCGTCAACCGTATGGATGGGAATCGGTGTCCATTTGAAGACAAATTTGATGTCAATCTGATGACTGAGTTCTTTCAAACCTACGGCTCAATGATCACAAAAATTAATTTTTTGGACACAGATTTCAAGCATTATCTGTACTTTTGTCACAATTTGTCTCACCTGAAGACACAGTACTTGTCGGATGTCTTGCAATCGGGGAAACTATTATTGGTCCGCAATCTGAAGAGATATGAGTTTCACATGAATCGCGACTTTAATAACCAGATGTTTGACACTTTTGTCGCCAATAATAAGTCTCTCAAAAGTATTGTCGTCCAGAATATCGCCATCAGATCCCAAGAGACGGTCATTGAATTCATGAACAAATTCACAGAATTGACAGAATTGCAAGAATTGTCGCTATATTTCGGCAATAAAACCGTCAGATATTCATTGAGTGACTGTTTCACAGAAATTGGCTTAAAGTGTAAGAAACTGAAGAAACTTTGCGTTCAAATGAAGTCAAACTCAACTGAACTGAATGTCGAGATATTTAACTCAATTCAATACTTCTCGGGATTAAAACGATTGGATTTGAGTCTCAATCTGTCGATCGGTCTTATTGTCAGCAATAGTTTGCAATCATTTGATTCATTCAAATGTTGGCCACAATTGACTCATTTATGCCTAGATTTATGGCAAATGAGTGACAAATTCTACGACAGAATCGACAAAATGCAGCCAAAACTGCAACACTTGGACACCACTGACCCCTCGTCTCAATTAAGTGGCAAAGACTTCAAACACATCTCAAGATTGCCAAACCTGCGGACACTTATCATCAGAAATTCAAACAAAAACAAATGCTTTGATCCCATATTCCTCAATGTCTTGGCGCTAAAATGTGCTAAAATAATGTCGATTGAGATTTGGCTAAAAGCGGGTCAAACTCATGGTCTCAATGAGCGTATGATTGAGTCCATCAAAAAGACTTATCAAATGAGACTCAATAAAAGGAGTCTAATGTCCAACACTTCCAACCACTTCATTGACTCACCTGAAGAAGTTGCACACAATTAGAATCGTTTGCATGATTTAAATATAAGACCTGGACACTTTTAGAATAACATTATCAGTATTATTTATCTTAATTTTAATGATAATAATAACTACACTTAGTACAGCATATTGTAAACTATTGTCACAAAAAAAACTTTATATAAATTTAAATTATTTATTGCATGTGTATATTTGAAAAAATAATTTTTAATTACTATTAAAAGTGATTAAATAAAACTATTTGAATACTGTACCGGTACTTAAGTCTACGTTAATAAAAGTTTTCAATTAGGATAAAGCATGACATCTATTGTGGATATGTTTATTAGCCGCAATTTAGTGCCTTTTGTATATTAATAATATCAATAATACTCTGTAATATAAAAAAGTACCAAATCATATATCAAAACACAATCATATGTTTTGTGAACTTTAAATCAAATTTAAACTAATTTTTCAACTCTTTGTGAATGCATTTGAAACACGTGTTTGTGGTTAACATGCAATGGATTAGACATCTGAAGAGATAATCACATCAACACATCCGCCACACAATGTCTTCAATGGATGACAGGAATGGCAAACATAGAGACAATCGCTTAAGACGTGAGCCACTCATACGGAACAGTAGTTTGTGGGTAAACGCCGGCGAAACGGATCCGATGGGCAGCCGATTCAAGATCGCGGACACAGACTTCTTGGACGACATCACCGAACGGACCAATTGTCCCAAATGTCACAAATCGCGTAAATATTACTGCTATTCGTGTTATGAACTGATGGACGACATCCGCGATCGGGTGCCACGAGTGACACTTCCCGTCAAAGTGGATGTCATTAAACACGTGCAGGAAGTGGACGGCAAGTCTACCAGTCCTCACGTCAGGCTCATCGCACCACAAGACACCACTGTCCACACGTTCCCCGACATTCCCGACTATAGGCACCAAAGGGTACACCCGTTGACACCTATGTTGACATCAATTGTCTTAATCTATTCCCATTGATAGGTAGTACTGGTGTTCCCGGCGCCCAATGCCCGCACCCTTAAGCAGGTGTTTGCTGATGGAGTTACCGATGAGGAGATACCGGTGACCATAGAGACAAAGGTCTTGGAGCTGAGCGGTGAGAATATGTTGTCTGAGCGCTGGAATGTAGGCGCTAATGGAAAAGAGTGGAACGACTCCCGAAGGGTGTGGACTGTGGACAGCCTACATGATTGCACACCACATCTGCCGCCACACTCTGACAAAGAGTCGACACTATCGACAACAGGAATGCCTTTCGATAGAGTGGTGTTCATCGACAGCACGTGGCGTCAGACCCGTCAGATTCTGAAGGACCCCCGGATCAGCCCATTACTGACCACATCGACTGTGATATTATCAGAACACGAGTCCCTGTTCTGGAGACACCAACGAGACTCTCCCCGAACCTATTTGTCCACAATTGAAGCCATCTATTACTTCTTCGTCGACTTGCAGGTGATATTAGATGAAAGAGACGGCAATTGCGGTGATTATGACCACAGATATGATAATTTGCTCTTCTTTTTCAAACACACGTATAATAAGTTAAGACTTAAGTATAATGTTTAGGATAATATTGTATTTCTTAAATCTTTACCATTGGTTTGATATAAAAATGTGTTTTAATTAATGACTGTTTAATTTAATATAAAGTTTTGTAATTATCGGTAAATTTTGTAATAAAGTTTTCAGTATTATAAGCAAAAAACTATTAATAGTAATCGACATGGGAGTAACTCCAGGGTAGTTTTTATGCCTAATTTAATCATATATTGGCCAATATTACTATATAATTGATAATTTAATTTTGTTTTATAATATCTGATTTTAGGGCCACTTTTTTCACTTGATTTCAATAGAGATATGAAACCGATATTTAGATTAAGAATTATATATTTGGATCACATTTTTGTTTATTCCCCGAAAAACTAAAACACTATTTGAAAAAAATTAAAATTTTAATTGGCTGTGACTCTAGAAATGAAAAACAATATTTTGACTTTGATTTTGTTGTATTGAATTCATATGAGACTATACGTGAGATTTTTGTGCAAAAAATAAAGTTTTTGTCTTATTTTTGTGCGAATAATCCAATTAATTATCATTTTTTCGAGTTTTATTGCTTCACAATTGAGTGATTGATTGGATTAACAAAACCATACAATTAGTCAGTGATATGAATGGCTCGAAGTGATCGCACTTTATATACAGTTATATATTTGTGTTGATTATAATTGTGATCACGAATTGTGTTTGTAATTGAATTATACGATGAAATATCTTTCCGTTAAAATCAATTCATGCGAAACCCTTTCATAGAAAAGTTTTTCAGAAAAGTTGTTTTTGTATTCAATATTTTGTGTGTTAATTACAATTATTACTATTGCATAGCATTGTATAATATAATTAATTATGATATTTGTTTCGTATCTTATATTTTTGAACTCCTATTGTGTTTAGGAAAAAATTTAACCCTATTTATAGGTATTATAATTAATTTGAGTTAAGACACCATTATTTATTCATAAACAAACATTTATGATATATTAACTGTTAGTGTAATTAATTCATTCATTGAATTCAGAGCACAGGTATGTGGGGAGGCATAGGGAGAGGTATGTTACGAAATATGAACCTTTAATTCTGGCAACTATTAATTTAATTGTATCCTAATTGCTTTATTCGGAGTTATTAATATACAACTAATTTAATTAATTTATAGTCAACGCTAAAACTTATAATTAATTTGAAACAAACCTTTTTCGACACAAAAACACAAAATATGTATTACTTTTAGTTTCGGTCTTAAGTTTTCTCTCCAACGCCTTATTAAACGACTTATTTATGTTGATTTTGAACACTATTTCGAGATTTATTTTAATAATAACTTATTATAAATTTAATAATAAGTTACCTTTATTAATAAGGTAGTATTGTATTGTATTGTATTTATATTTATATTTATAAATATTATGATTTTCCACTATAATTAGATTTATTATATTTAAACCGTACTAACCATTAATCAAATGTAACAGTAGTTTTTCAAAACTTTTAAACTCAAAATTAATTCAATTCCAGTAGTTATTGAACTGAAAACAATTGGTTACGTAAGGCTTTGGCTATAATATTAATTAAATGGCATTTTATTAGAGAGATATAAAGTAATAAAAATATAAAAACTATTAATTCTTGTCTTAGTATTTGTGACACAAGTGAACCAATTATTGCATTAAATGCGATATAAATCTCCCGAAAAATCTTCATTGCATTTGACCTCAAACTTGAAAATATAATAATACAATAAAAAGCGGACTTTTTTCATAAGTAATGATAACTTCTTATATAATAGTTATATTAAATTATTATATTCTCTGGATAACTAAGTTTGACATTAATTATGATGATTATACAATAATAATAAGTCTTATTATCTTTGATAATCTCTTTATCTATTGATATATTCATTGCAAACGAGAATTGGGAAGATATTTAGCGAAACAAATAAAAATATAAGAAATGCACTCAAAAATGCATCTCAGGATGACATCACACCTGCCATAAGAAGTTGATATACCTTTTGATAAGCTTTTATGCAAATATGAATCGTTTTGTTTGCTAAACACACACATCAAAGACCACCAGAAAATGTTTAATGAGTTTTTAAACATGAGTTAAATATTTTACGATTCTTACGAACTTCTAAAGAGAGAAAAATACAGATAAACTGCACTTATATTCATCAGAAATGCTGCAAAATGATAGCCAAAAGCCATAAATAATAGAGAATTTCTTTTGAGACAAACAAACAAAAAGTGTATTTTATTTTTTTCCAATGAATACCCCCAGAAATATTTGACACAATTTTTTTGGTTGTGTTCACAACACTATTGTATACGAAAAGAGGGTTTCAAATGGTTTTTGAAAACAAATCTCGCACTCAATTCATCGGAATATCCGTCTAATTATTGCTGCCTTTTTATTATGGCATCTCTCTCTCTCTCTCTCTCCCTCTCTCTCTCCCTCTCTCTCTCTCTCTCTCTCTCTCTCCACTTCACTCTAAATAAGAAGTTTTATTTCATTTCAAAAGAAAACACTTTATTTTACTTTTTATTCTAGCGTTCAGTTGTTAAGAATTTCGATGATCTGAACGCCAAATATTATGGCAAATAGAGAGACAACTAATTGATTTGAAAACAAGTTTTTCATTTCTGTTTCCCAATGAATCCGATGAATCACTGAACTAGTCTTTGGGCAAAAAATTGCCTAAAAGTCTAGTGTTTTATAATGAAAACCCTTATTTGTCTTGATATCACCTATAATTTAAACCTGTGTCAGTGGAATATTATGCTAGTATATAATTTTGTCAATTTTTATACCCGTCTAATACATTGGGATAGGCATGGCTTTAATGTGAGCGTAACTTAAGACTTGTTTTTAGTTATTAAAGTGTATAATTATTTTTAATATCCTTTTGATATCACATGTAATCTTATAAGACATCCACACATATAATGACGTCCCGAAGGTTTAGTTCATGAACTCATCCGCTTTTGCAAGACTGTGGCATTGGATCCACAAGTTTTTGTCTCTTCTTTGTTTTGTTTAGTCTTTGAGTGGAGTTTTTGTTGTGAAGTTATCATAAATTATAAGTTTTTTGGTCATTTAGTTTAGTTTTAGTTTTTCATTTGGTGTATAAAACACTACATTATTCTGCTATTGAATGGCTCTCTCGCTATCATATGCTCTCCCATAGTCTGACTGTCTGTATATGTTATGTGAAATGAAGTACTGATTCATCGCTGGAATACCTGAATATAATTCATGTGAATCGCTACCAGAGAGTGAGTTAGAGAGAGAGAGAGAGAGAGAGAGACCTGACTATCAGTTTGTTTGGATGTTTGGAGGCTATCAATGATGTCATACCCTATGAGGCAGAGTCTGTATCCACACGAAGCGCCGGCTTATGAATGAAATTCATTGATTATAATTGCTTTTTAATAAATCAACTGATTGTGTGTACGTTGTTAACGTAAATTACACTATTATTTATGTCTATTGTGTAAAACTATTCAAACTATTCATGAAATACACTTTTTGTGTAACTTTTGGTGTAATATTTTTTGTTTTGAAAACTCATTGAATAGAAATTATTTAGAAATTTAGACACTTTTTGTGCGCTGAATATGTATTCAAACATTGGTTTTTATAAAAGCAATGTATAGTGTATTTGTGTTGACATTTAATTGTGATTATTCACAGCACAATGATTTAACTAAATATTTAATTTGAATTTAAGTTTTTTTACTCACTTTTCATTTGTGTAAAAAGTTTTCAGTAAAAACAGTTCATATATTGGGTGTAAAACTAGACTTTCTTTTAGTAGTTAAATGTTTTGTGTAATAACTAATTGAAAGTTAAAATTTATTTTTAAATTAATAATATCTATTCCATCGATTGGTTTCTGACATGTAAGTGAAAACAAAAAGTTTTTTATTTGAAGTAATAATAAAAAAATTTTAATAATAAATTTGATGTTTAATTATAGATATATGTTTTATGATTTAATTTTAATATACTGTGGAGTAATAAAAATTGAGATTTCATTTTGATTTATACGTGTGTTTTCATAATATTTAATGAAAATTTAAAAACAAAATTTTTTAATATTCAATATATATTTTAATTTTAACCCAAATTTCCAATTAAATGCCAATTATAACACACACGAGAGTTAAGTCGAAAATAGATTTCACACAATAATTGTTTTCAAATAAGTCTCGGTTTTTACGATAGAAATGCTAATAAAAAGTTTTTGTGTACTTTTGTGTAAAAATATTATTTTTTTCTTTTCAAAGTTATTCGTATGTTTCTAACAATAAATTATTGTCAATAGATGTATAGCCTATTATATAAGAAAAGTGTATCAAATGATAACAAACAACACATTTCTCATACAATTATGATTTGAGATCTCAATCGTTATATAACTAGAAAACTAACTCATCGTATGAAATGTGATGACAACTTATTTTCTCTCAATTGTACTCCAAATCTGTATACAATATATTGAATATAATAGATAACACTTACGGCACACATAATTGGAAATGCATTATAATTGTCAGACAATTATAAATGGCTTTAAACTCTAATTTTGGTTATGTTTTACTCGTTTTCATGCATTTGTGAAGAGAGTAGTTATCTCTCGTAAAGAGTTGAAACAAAACACACACTTATACTGAATGAACAAAAAATTGTAAATTTAATTATAGAAATCTGGGCTAAACTTGTAATCAATTTTTTTCTCTTGACTACACATTTGAAAACCTCATGAAAATATAGGTAACGCTAACACATACAGTCAGTGATCATAAATTTTGAAACAACAAACCACTTGAAGGCTTTAAAAGTTTTTGGTTTTGTTTTAAGAGCACCACTATTAATAAGTTTTTGCGATATATTTATATAACATTTTAATATGCGAATAATTATATTCATAATATATTTTGGCGTAATAATATTTTTTGCTATATCACATATTTGTGCTGCCTAATTTGCATTATTTTGCTTACTTCTCATTGAGTTCTCTATATTAGCATTTGATTGATTGCATTAATATATTCAACTGCATATG